AAGGCCGTGCGGCCAGGTGAGTTCCAGAGCCCCCCGCGACAGGTTCACCCGCGGCCGTGTAAAATGCAAGCCCCGCCCCTTCGGAGACCCGGGTTCGGCGAAGCCTCGGGTAATCGTGATCGGTCCGGTGCTTCAGGTGGGAGAGCCGCCGCGGCCTCGCTTTCACTCTCCTCACCTGCGATCGATCTTTGAACTTGGGTTTTGCAAAGACGGCAGCCCTAATCCTTTGCAGCTTGAGCCCTGTCACGTGAAACCGAGCACCTGTTTGATTTGGGCCGCGTGGTGGGAGGGCCGGGTCACGTGCTCCACGTTGCACCCCGCCCCCTACGCCAATGGGCTTGCCCGCTCCTGAGCAAAAACACGGGGCAAGTAGTTTCTGCATCTGGACATTGGAGCTTCAGGGTTGGGTATTGCGTGTTAGCTCCACATCCCCACCCTGGGTCAGCCCCAGGGGTGAGTTTGCCCCCAGGCCTGGGCCAGGTTCTTTGGCATGAAGAAGTGGAGTGCTCTGGACTCACAGCCTTGAGACCTGGTGTACTACAGTCTTGGCTCAGTCAGTAGCCTCCCATGCCAACAAGTCATTTAATCTCTGGACCTCAGTTCCTTCACCTGTAAAATGGACATAACTGCCCCTCCATGGGAGTCCTGTGAGGCTCCCATGAGATGGTAAGATTTGTGGAAGTGCCCTTTGTTTTTCATTTCAAGCTAGAGTGCAATGCAAGGTGGTGGCTGAATGATTGTGCGGGATGGTGATACAGAAGTCCTTTCACACACTGCCCCCTGGATGCGACTGGTATCTTCGAAGAGGCAGGCATGCAGAGGCTGATGGATTTAGGACCTGTGGTTCTTAATGGTGTCCATCTGACTTCTTTGAGGAGTGTTTTCAATTTGTATGACAACACCGCCCCCACCCCCCGAAAAAAAACAAACCCACACACAAACGAAGTGCCCATCCTGTTTTACAGCTGCAGATTTGGGCTTGGACTGTTGCTCTGCCACTGACTGTTCAATGACTTTGTGCACCTTTCCCCCAGCAGGCCTCTTGTTTCCTCATTTACAAAGTAGTGTCAATGAAACCTCACAGGTGCTTATATGTTGGTCTTTGCACTTACTATGTTTTATTATTTCTTTGAGTAATTCCTTCATTGTTAGACTATGATGACTCTCAGGGCAACCAGGGACCTACAGAATCATTGTATTTGCATTTTACAGGTGAGGAGATGAGGTGACTATTACTCCCCAGCGGTGAATTTCCCTGCTGCAGTCCCCCTGTGGAATGGGTGATTTGCAGAATGTCAGACAATCCCAAGCTTGATTCAGGACAGCTGCCTTTCTGGGTGGGAAGGGGGAGAGGGGAAGCCAGTAACAGCCAAGTGGACTTCACCCCCTAGGCATTGTGTCCCAGCCGGTAATGAGGAACTTGAGACAGGCATCTCCCCTCCCCGTGGACCCACTGCCCCGATCACAGTGGGGTTTCGCCTCCTGCACTGGGATGCACTCAGTTACCTGGGTTAGGGTTAGGCCAGGGCCCAAGATCAAATAGTAAGGACTAGTTCTGTATTCAAACCTAGTCTTCCTTCAAGCCATGTTCTCATTTGTAAGAAGCTGACCATGCCTACTTCACTTCAGGTTCTTGTGCTTGGCACGGGCTTTGCCCATGGCTGTTGCTCTATCAAGGTTTCTCAACATCTCCATTATTGACATTTTGGACAGGATAATTTGTTGTGAGGGACTGCCCTATACATTGTGGCATGTTTAGCAGCGTCTCTGACCACTTCCCCCTAGATGCCAGTAGCACCCCATCGGTTGTGACAATGAGAAATGTCTGCAAACATTGCCAGGTGTCCTGGGAGGCAGAGTGCCCTCGGGCTGAGAGCTGCTGCTCTAGTTCAGCGCCCAGATCTTCTGACACCTGTTTTCTCTCCATCTTCAGTGTTCCGCCTGGCCCTCATCCAACTTCAAGTTTCTTCCATCAAATCAGATAATGTCACTCGAGCTTGTGGCCTTGTCCGGAAGGCAGCCACAGAAGGAGCTAAAATAGTTTCTCTGCCAGTAAGTACGGAGGCAGCCCCCCGTTTCTGGGAACTGTGGGCCCAGCACAATAGTGTCTGCTAGCTCTGGCTTTCCTGTTGTCTCCCGGGTCCAACAATCCTTTGGCGCCCAGGATTGTTCCATGATTATCTGGAAGATGACCCCAGCAGTGGCCTTTGTGATAGGATGTGCCCACATGGTTACAGGTCTTGAACTTGAGGGTCACCTACTCTGTTCAGAATCCTAGTTGGTTGAAGACTTACCTAAAGCTGAAATACTCTGCACTTCAGATACTTCCCTTCTTTGCTTGTATAATTCTTTATTTTTTTTTCCTAATCCTCACCTGAGGATATTTTTTTCTTGATATTTAGAGGAGAATTGGGAAAGAGAGAGAAACATCAGTGTGAGAGAGAAGCATCAATTGGTTGCCTCATATGGGCCCCCGACCTGGGATCAAGCCCACACCTAGGTATGTGCCCTGACAGGGAATCAAACTTGCAGCCCTTTGGTGCACGGGGTCCTGCACATGTGAGGACATGGATGAACTGGTTTCTTCCACTGGCGGAGGCCTGCTGGGTCCATGGTGGAACTAGTCCAGACAGCCCCTCCCCCACTCTCTCCCTCCCTCCATGGTGGAGGCAACCCTTTGCGAACCCTGCTTAGACTGATGAGGATTTTCAGGGCCACTTTGTATTTTGGGCTCCAGGCCATCACAGATGTGGCCAGTGAGTAGGAATCTTTAACAAGGGAGCTCGAGACCTTAATGTTAACGCAGTCTTCATTACCGCCCCAGTCATGGGATTCACCTGTACTTGTACCCCAGTCATGGTCTCTTGTTGGTTTATGTTGCGGGAGATCAGTCTAAAGACCAGCAGTGAAAACTGGAATTCATGTGCCCCTCTATCTAACGTGTGTCTTGTACAAGCTGGCGATCCTCGGGTTTGAGTGTCCTAACAGAGTGTGGTGCACAGGCAATCTCAATAAATGCGAAATGAATGAATTAGAGCCAGAGTCTAGTCGTTTTTGCTCTTGTTTTATCACAGAGCTATTGCAGACAGACATACCCTGGGGAATGAGACTTCTCAGGGTCAGAATGATAGTGCTGGAAGGGAGCTTAGAAACAGTTCATTTTACAGATGAGGAAATGTCTTAGCTTCTGTGGCTTTCAAAGAAAATCTGTATTTTTTCAGCCAAGCTTTCTTGCTTTACATAGTTAATATAATTTTGAGCCTATGAATTCATTCTAACACCCAAAGTCCTGTGAGTAAGCCCAGTTGTAGTGGGGCCTGGGCACCCTGGAAATACATAGCTGTCTGCAGACTCGAGGGAGAGGCTGTTCCCGCCTTCTGCCAGGGTGACCAAGGTTCTGGTTGAGCATGTGTGACTTGTCTCCTGGAGCCCCACCTGAGCCAGCTGCTGAGTCCTGCCTGTGGCTACAGGCTCTGTAGCCCTGGGACCTCCGTGTTTGTTTTTATCAGCTCTGTTTTACCTCTTTGAGAGCAGAGCTGGAAGCAGCAGCTACATCTTCTTACAGCAAAACTTTAAAATGGGTCCAGTGCCCTGGCCAGTGTGACTCAGGTGGTTGGGCATGGTCCCGTGCACCAAAAGGTTGCTGGTCAGATTTTGGTCAGGGCACATGCCTGGTTTGCTAGGTCAGTCCCCAGTCGGGGGCATGCAGGAGGCAGCTGATTGATGTATGGCTCTCACACGGATATTTCTCTCCCTCTCTCCCTAGAAAATCACTTAAAAATCTTTAAAAAATAATAAAGTGGGTTGGGTGTTTTGATGTTTTTCCCCCTCTTTTCCTCTGCCCACATTATTCTAGGAATGCTTTAATTCTCCATATGGCACAAACTATTTTCCTGAATATGCAGAGAAAATTCCTGGTGAATCCACACAGAAGCTTTCTGAAGTAGCAAAGGAGTGCAGCATATATCTCATTGGAGGTAACTTCCTGCCCTCATGGTGTAATGGCCTAAACATTAAAAACACATGAATAATTTTGGTTACATTTAAATCTTGGAATACCAATTAGCCATTGAAAAGAATGAGGTAGACCTGTATGTAGTAGAGTGGAGAGCTCTTGCAGACACACTATTAAGTGGGAGAAAGAGCAAGTTCAACATGCTATGAACAGGTACTTGCATTCAGATTAATCCCCTACACAAAAGGTTATTTTTATATGTAGTTATGTATGTAAGGCATAGGCAATGTTGTAGAAGGACACAAACCAAACTGATAATGATGATTCTCCCTGGAGAAGGAGTAGGAGTGAAGGGCCAGATGGAAATGTGGAAAGAAAAACCCATATCTAAGTGTCTTTCATTATACTAATATAGGGTTAACAAATTTTTTTTTCTTAAAGAGGTTACATATATCAAGGTAGCTTTATGTGGTTTTGAATTAAATTTTAAAATGTTCTATTTGCTTAAATTAAAAAATCAGTATAGTAAATCTGTTCAATAACTACAGCAAGCAAAATTATTTCTGTATTATGCTGTATTAAGAATTAGTCACCCGGCCGGCGTGGCTCAGCGGTTGAGCATCGACCTGTGATATGGGAGATGGTTCGATTCCCGGTCCGGGCACATGCCCGGGTTGCAGGCTCGATCCCCAGCAGGGGGCATGCAGGAGGAAGCTGATCAATCACTCTCTCCTCATTGATGTTTCTGTCTCTCCCTCTTCCTTCCTCTCTCTGAAATCAGTAAAGACATATTTAAAAAAAGAAAAGGAATGGGTAAGAGGTGAAGGAAAAAAGCAAAGCAAGATGAGGCAGACCTGGGGTCTGCAGTCAGTGATGGAAAGGCATCTTGAAGCCTTTGTGGATGCAGCTGTGTTGCAGGGGGCCTGGTGAATTTAAGTTGAGTAACGGAATTCCCCATGTTGCTTCAGTGTTTCAGTTTAAATTTTGCTCAAAGCTGAATTCAGAAACTGTGTGTTATTTTTGAAACCTGTCCTGAGCATCTGACCTAGTAATATTTTATCTACACTCTAGAGTTTATCTCTGAAAGATTGTATTCAAGAAGATAAAACAACTGATTAAATAACCCTTAAGATATAGTAAACTTTATTGTTGGACCCAAGTGCCAGTTTACCAAGCCTTTGTCCAGTTCCAAAAGAAGGCTTTATTCAGAATGTTTTCCGTGCCTGTGTGCTTCTCCTCTCAATAAAAGGTTCCATTCCTGAAGAGGATTCTGGGAAATTATATAACACCTGTGCCGTTTTTGGGCCTGATGGAGCTTTACTGGTAAAGCATAGAAAGGTAAGTAGGGAATGTGGCAGGTCTCATTGCCACTTGAGAATTTACTGTGAACGCCCCTAGTCCTCTCATTGTATTGTACACACATCAGGCATTTTGACTGGTTGGCACAATTGGCTGTTCTTGGCTTTTGGCATTTTGATATAAATTTTAGACTCAGCCTGTCAATTTCAGCAAAGGAAAAACCTGAAGTTTACTTTATCTCTGATAATACTATAGCCACTCTTATACTCACTGTTTGGTGGTGTGTCTTTTTTTAATCTTTTATTTTCAACCTGTATGTGTCCATTATATATAAAATTCGTAGACAGCATATAGTTGGGTTTTGCTATTTTATTCATTTTGGAAAGCTCTGCCTTTTAACTGGAATGGTTCCTCCATTATAGTTTATATAAATATTGATTTGTGTGTCACCTGGGAAAGAAGGGTCGTAGAACCTACACTGTCATTTTCCCATTTCCCGTGTTAGAATTCATTCTGATAGTGTCAGATTGTGGGGTGGGTTGTGAGCACGTTGTGGGTGCTGCTTGTACAGTTGATCTTAGGTCATCCCCATATCTGGCCATGGAAAGATGCTTGTTTTTATTGCCATGAACCCCTTTGGGAAAGAGGTAACCAGAGCCCTTATTTCTGCTGCAGCTCCATCTGTTTGACATTGACGTTCCTGGGAAAATCACATTTCAAGAATCTAAAACATTGAGTCCTGGTGATAGTTTCTCCACATTTGAGACTCGTACGTACTAGATAAGTCCGCCTCTTATAGCAATCCCAGTGGGAGAGGATCAGGTATTCCTTTAGTTTTTTTTCTTACGTCCCTCCCTAATTTCTTTATATAACCTGACTGAAAGACCAGAAGTGGGAAGGGCAGAGAAAGGTCAGAGATCTGGAAAGGGTGGGCGGAATGGAGAACTGAGGGTTTGACTTGACTTTGCTCTTCCATTTGATCCCAGCCTCCTGTTAGTGTGATGGCTTCCCGAGTGCACCTGTTGGGCCATGATTGAGCTCCTCTCACATAATAAGCTTTCAGTTAGAATGAATTTCTCATCTCTTCTCTGCTGACATAAATGATGTCTCTGTGAGGTGACGTCCAAGCAGGAATGAGCTTATACATTTTCTCCAGTCCAAGCAGGAATGAGCTTATACATTTTCTCCACCACGGGCCCTGTGTCACTGTATCCCTGTCAGTGTTCTGTGACCTTAGCTCAGGAGGCTTTCCCCTCACGCCGTGCTGCAGGCTAACCTTCCATTCATGCATTTTTTGTTTATAAACAGCTTACTGCAAAGTGGGCCTGGGCATCTGCTACGACATGCGCTTCGCAGAGCTTGCACAAGTCTACGCGCAGAGAGGTGAGGGCACTGTTGTCGTGTGGTGTAGGTGCTTGGCAGTTCGAGTCTGGGTAGAGGGACCCTTAGTTGGAAGAGCTGGAGGAGGGGTCGTCATCTCTCCACCCCCACCTGGCTTCTCAGACTTTTGCTGTGTTTGGACAGTATGGTTTTTCAGAAGTGATTTACCGCGCCCTGCAGCTAAGGCAGGAGCCAGACTCAAGCATCTGCTCTACCTTTCAAGCCCTTCCTGCTACTGTGTTTGGAAAGAGTCCCTGGTTGCCCAGTAGAAATGAAGACATGGCCTGTCCCTCATGGATTTCACTACACAGTAGTCCTAAATGTGGGGTACAATGGAAATGCAGTCAGTGATGTTTTGGTCCAGAGAAGAGGTGTCCTACCATCCAGCACCAAACCAAGTCGTAGCTCTGGATTCTGGTTCCAGCTCTTCCCCAAACTGGTGTGATTACTTTGGGTAAATTATTTCCAGAGCACTGTGGATCTGTTTTCTCATAGGGATGGTGTGAGGATGAAGGAGAGAGAACGTATTTAAGCTCCTTGCATGGTCCTCAACAAATACTAGCATCCCTACTAGACTGGTGATTCTGAATCAGCTGTCACCTAATACAGTGAAGTGGATGCAGACAGGTCACCCACTCAGTGCGAGGTGGCGGTGCGCGGGCTCTGGGTCGGCATCTCTGTGGAGTCTCATCAGTAAGCATAGAAGCACCCACATGGCCCCTCATTTCAGTTGAAAGCATCACAGAACATCGTCCTTGGCCATGCAGAGCTGGCCAGGTGGTGCTGAGAGAAATACAAATCACAGTTTACGGGTTGTTGTTTTTAAGCGAAGTCACATGTTGTGATTGGGTTCAGTACCACTTTTCTCGTGTGTCTGTGTGTCATGTGAGTATCCCTGAGGGAATGCAGAGCCTTAACCGACTGCTGCCAACACCGTCTGACTTGACTGACACCTTTCATGGCTGGGGAAGTTGGCTTTTGGTCCCCACGGGATGGAGATAAAGGAGGGACTAGCGTGGGAGGTGTTCCCTGTACCGACTCTCAGCCCCTCTCTTCCCAAGGCTGCCAGCTGTTGGTCTATCCTGGAGCGTTTAACCTGACCACCGGGCCGGCTCACTGGGAGTTGCTTCAGCGAGGCCGGTAAGAAAGCGCGTAGGCCATCCCTCCAGGGATCTCAGGGTTCTCTGTGGGAAGATTTCGGTGTGGTGGAAGCACACCCTTCCTGATTGGAATGGTGCCTGGGAATCAGAATCCACAGCGTCCAGTTGCATTTTTTCGTCTTTCAGCCCAAAGGGAGGCTTCTACTGGGAGCCTTCTCTTCAGGAGCCACAGCACGGGTCTCTCAGATTCTTGGGACTGGTTTTTGCATTTCCAAGAGCATTTAGTGCATCAGGTGGGCAGCGATTTCCAATTGCTGTGATTTGATGTGGGCTGGTGTCTCTGAGACAGTTGCCAGCATCTTTCACAGAGAATTGGAGACCCACAGAGTATGTGTTCAGAGCCCAGATGCCCAGGAAAAGCAGGGGTTATTTCAGCCTGACAGCCCTGGGGAGAGGTTTGTGTTCTTCACACAGCTGTGAAGATTGGGGTGCTAATCCCACCCCAGCTTCCACTGCAGCCTGCTAGTCCTGGGATGCTCTGCCAGGAACCTTGTTATAAGCCCTTGTGCTTTTCCCCTGTAAATCCTGGGCACACAGCTCTCTCTGGCCTGTCACAGTTGCTGTGTCCTTAGACCCCTGAGGCCGAGTGGTGAAGGACAGGTAGGGTAGATGGAACGTGGAAGGGAAAGGGGTGTGACTGTGTGCGTACAGTGCTCTGCAAACGGAATGCTGGTCAGAGAGGATGGCTTTCTTGATTAAATGCTTTTTAAATTGAGGCATAATACACTTACAGAAGAGTGCACTGATTTTAAGTCTGCAAGATAGTGAATGTTAACATACCACCAACCAAAATCCACATACAGAGCATTCCCAGTACCTAGAATGCTCCCTTTTGCTCCTTCCCAGCCAGTGTTCTCCCCTCTGCGCCCAGAGCTTGCCACTGTCGTCCCTTGTAGAGATGATGGTAATTTTCACTGCAGGGGGATGCAGGGGTGTTTGGCTGGTTGCATGGTAGAGGTGGGGTAGGGGTCTGTGTTACCATGAATGTTAATAAATGCAGTCTTGTAGAAAAGAAAAGCTTGGGGGAGACTGGCATGACTTGGCATGGGTCTGTTGACTGAGCCCAGAGGGCTCCCAGGTGAGGTGGCTTCATGTACCCAGGCTGCCACCTGAAATTCTGATCTAACTTGAGATGATAGGACTGCCACCGTTGGCATGGAAATGCCATGCTGGTGTATTGCCCCATCAAGGGCAGTCCACTTTTGGCTCCGACCACCTTGGCTTGCATTAACCACAGAAGCTCTTTTACTGGCTGGCTGGGGCCAGGGTCTGTGTGCTGTAGCAGTATTAACATTTTGGAGCAGATAATTCTTTGTTGTGGGAGCTGTCCTGTGCATTGTAGGACGGTTAGCATTTCTGCCATCCACCCACTGGATGCCAATAGCATCCCCCTAGTTGTGATCGTCAAAAAGGTCTCCAGACACGCAAATGTCCCTTGCTGGCCAAAATTGCCCCAGTGAGAACTGACTTTAGTAATAAGATAATTTTTAAAGACAGCATTCCGTGGCTTTGAGTGTTTCCTTCCACATCTGAGCCAGCCTGTCCCGTCCTAGTTTTTAAAAGAACAATTCGGTACACTTAGGGAAATGCTTCAGAACTATAATGTATGATTTGCCTGTTTTCTATCCATTGACTCCAGGGCTGTTGACAATCAGGTGTATGTGGCCACAGCATCTCCTGCCAGAGATGACAAAGCTTCCTATGTTGCCTGGGGACACAGTACT